GAACCACTGAGCTCAAGCCCCAGCCCATTCCAGAGATCTTTGCTTTTGAACTTCCTGTTCTTTTTACCCAGTATATTTTCCTAGAAATATTTTTTGCTCTCATATAGTGAATAGCAGAATGTGAGTGGGTGAATAGTCCTATTGACCTGTGCACTTTTCCTCTTGTAGAGATACTGATTCTCGGGTTATCGATAATTCCTAGTCTTCAGTCTAAACGCCAGGAGGAGCTATTTAGGTGACAGATGTGATTTCTTTGGTTTTATATATATTTTTTAACAAGATTATTTCTCGATCACATTCAGAAGTGATCATTTGGTGCTTTCTAGAGTATTTCCTATCACTGACGATGTCACATGACAGAAAAGTGGCCTTACTGATATTTATTTCTTTTTTTAATTGTGGTGGCAGGCAGTGTCAACCTATTGTGTCACCTCACAGCGAGACAGCCCCAATTCCAGTTCTTATTCAGATAAGGAATTATCAGCGCATTGAGCAGAATCTGACGTCTACTGCCAGCTCTAGTACAAATTCACATGGTTCTCCAAGGTAAGCTTATGTCTTAATTTTTTAACCTTTCGTTATTGTTGTTGTTACTATATATTATTGAAAGATCTGAAGCTTTCAATCAAATGTGTGTGTATGTATGTGTGTTTGCACGTAGAGATGCATATATATATATATATATATCTACCCACAAGTATAATTACTTTTAAGAATTGAATAACTCATTAAAAATGAAATCCTAGAGGGCAACCCATTTGGGGCCCCTCCTGTCTCTCAGGAGTTAACCCTATTTCCCATTCTTATTCCCTATTCCTATTCCCCATTCCTATTCCTGATTCCTATTACCCAATAAATTTTCCTAGTCTTGACTGGGCAGGGGATTTAGCTTAAGTGGCACTGTGCCTGCTTCGGAAGTGCAGGGTTTGATCCTCCATACCAAAAAAACAATCCTACCAGTTACAGCAGATTATTTACTTATTGTTTACTTCTTCCCCATCCTGAGACTCCATTAAAGATGGTAGATAGCAAAGAAATAGCAAAAGTATAAGTCCACAAACACAAGTAAAGTAAGAATAGATGTTCAGTGATTACAGATTTTCTTAAATGTTCCTGGAAAATAAAGAGGATGGAGGAAGGGTTCTAGCTTTAGCAAGTAGAGTTTCTGACAGAATGAGAATCATTGTGCCCACAGTAGCCCGAAAAAGACATAAATCAGAAAACTCGGGTAAAGTGGAGGAAGGAAATTGTAGTTCAACTTTTGGTAACTTGTTCTCTATGTATGTGTACATAGATACATATTCTATGTATACATAGTATTTGTGTATGAACTTTATATATATAAAATTATTACAGTAGCAAAAGATGAGAAATAAGCCAAGTGCCCACCAGTAAGGGACTAATTTATTATAATTCATGTATGACAGTGGAATATTATATATTTTCCATTCCAAGAGTAAGGAAGCTATGTATTGAGGCAGAAAAATTTCCAAGATATGGTATAAAATTTAAAAAGCAGAGTGACTGACATTATGTCAGGCTGTGGTTCTCAGAGTATGGTCTGTGGATCCCTTCAGAGAGCCCATGAGGTCAAAACTTTTAATAATAATATGTCATCATTAGCTTTGTTCACTGCATTGATATATGTACTAATGGTGCATAAAGCAGAATCTACACCTGCTCATTTAAGAGCATGATCTCAAGGTGCATCCATTTAGCTAGAAATGTCTCAAGTTTATGCTTCTTTATGGGAGAGTAATATTCCATGATATATTTTAAAAACCACATCTTACTTATCCGTTCATCCGTTGATGGGCATTTGGGCTGTTTCCAAGATTTAGCCATTACAAATTGTGCTGCTGTAAACCCGGGTGTGTGTATATCATGAGGTAGGTTGCTTTTAATTCTTTCAGGAAGATACCAAAAATAGCTGAAGTAGCTGAAATATCCACACTGATTTCCGTAGTGGTTACACCAGTCTACACTCTCACCAACAGTGGAGAAGGATTCCTTTCCCTCCACAGCTCCACCAGCATTTATTGTTGGTTGATTTCTTGATAATAGCCATTCTTTTTGGAGTGAGATGGCATCAAATATATAATAGATATTGGAAAATAGGAAGAAAATGTTCAGATTGGAAAGGGAATGGGGAGGGGAAGGAAAAACAGAATGGAAGGGAAAAAAATGGGAACAAAGCTTTTGTAAATGAGGAGAAGAGAGACTTGAGCAGAACGAGTTGGGGCAGAAAGAATTGAGACACATTACGAACAGTTATAGATTCCCCACGATGAATGTAATCATTATGTATATCTAAAATGTACCAATAAAATTTTTTAAAAACCCTGCTCATTCCTTAGGATGAGTCAAAGTGGTAACACCCAATTGTGCTATTGATCTTTGTGTTCTTGACCACCGCATTACTGTCAATACTAAGGAATACCTTTGACAAAACAATCAAAACTCTCTGTGAAAATTATAATCCTTGAGTAGAACATACACATAAAACATTTTGCTTTATTTTAGAGTGGTTACCTTAGAAAAAACACTGGAATGATTTAGTTGTGAGCTGTATTAGCACTTTTTTAAGTAACCTATTTTTTTTGGTACCGGGGATCGAACTCGGGTCCTTGCACTTACAAAGCAGGCAGTGGAACCACTGAGCTAAATCCCCAGCCCTAGGCACTTTTTTAATAGACTCCCTCTTTTTACTTTAGGGAAGAACTGAGAAATGATGGCGAGAGTGTCTAGCAACCATTTTTTTGAAAATGAACTAAATTTTGCTACTTTGAGCTGGGTAAGGTCAGGCAAGCCTGTAATCCCAGCTCACGAGGCTGAGGCAGGAGGATTGCTGTGAGTTCAAGGCCAGCCTGGGTTACATAGTGAGACCCTGTCTCCAATAAAAAAGGGCTGAGGATGATTTAGCTCAGTGGCACCGTGCCTGCCTTGCAAGTGCAAGGTCCTGAGTTTGATCCCAGGTACCAAAAAAACTCCCCCCAAAACCCAAAACTGCTACTTTGAGGAAAACAAGTAAATGTCAGTGATGAATACGAGCTTTCAAGCAAAAAAAATGAGAATATGGGGAAATTTGTATTCACCACTGTGATCTTGACACCTTCTCTTAATGTCTTGTCAAACATTTCTGTCAAGATTGACAGGTGAACACTTTGGTATAAATGTGACTTTTTGCTGTTGTATAATGTATCAGTATTTGGAATATCTGCATAACTCAGTGAATCAGTATTACCCAAATAATGTTAAAAATGCACAAATTGTAAGATACTTTGCAGAAGAATGGATTTTACTCATATAACAGTATAAAAATTTATAGTGCAGTTGCAGATCCATCGCTCCAAACTGACCCTTTAGAAACCACCACTTGCTGAGATTTTGCTTTGTGTATCAAAGAAAAGTGTCACAGATATCTGAAAGGGCTATCAAAATATTCTTTGATATTTCAGTACGTATCTATGTAAAGCTGGCGTATTTTTCTATATTTGACCCAAAAGAGTATATTTTATAACAGATTGAATACAGGAGCAGTTTTGAGAATCCAGCTGTCTTAAGTGAGATGTTAGAGATTTGCAAAAATGTAAAATAATACTATGATTCTTATTTTGTTTTTTTCAGGGAAAATATGCTTATTTTTCATATTCTCCTGTTAAATTTAATATGTTTATTATTTTTAATGAATTTTTTAAAGTTCTCATTTTAATTTCAAATACAGTAAGTATCAGTAGATAATGTTGTATAAACAGAAATTCTCTGGAGTCTTTAGTAATGTTTGAGAGTATAAAGGGCAAAAAAAAAAAAGAGTATAAAGGGGGAAAAAAAAAGACTATAAAGGGGACCTAACACAAATTGAAAGTAAGTAATATACATCATCTTTGGTGTTAAAACAAGATGAATATAATAACATGTATTCATTTTGGTTATACTGTATATGCATTAAGGGATTCTGGAATGCTATGCTAGAAACTAAAAATCGTGGTAATTTTTTGGTTTTTTTGAGGTGGGGTCTCCCTTTATAGTTCAGGCTGGCCCTGAACTCACTATGTAGCCCAGGCTGGCCTCAGACTCACACCGGTCCTCCTTCCTCAGTTTCCCTATTGCTGGGATTGCCTATAATCCCAGCTATACCTGTGCCTGTACCCACCACACCTGGCTCTGGTAGCTTTTTCCATTGTCTTTATTTATTTATTTTGTACTGGGGAATGAAGTGGGATCCTTGCACTTGCAAGGCAGTTGGCAGAACCACTGAGCTAAATCCCCAACCCTTCTGGTAGCTTTTTGAATAGGATTAGAGAAGTGTTGAGAATTAGAGAAGAGGTGACGGAGATTGTACTCTATGTCATTTTATGCTTTTATTTTTGGTACCAGGGATCAAACTCAGGACCTAGTGCCACTGAACTAAATCCCCAGCCCTATTTTATACTTTTTGTATTTGTTCCGTGTGACTGCTACACATTTTTAGAAAGTGTTTTTTTGTGGCATATAGTTAGGAAATTTCAGACAAAACAATCAAAAAATGGAAATCCTAGAACCTACCAGAGTAAAGAATTCTCCTTTTCTCACCAGGTCTGCAGTGGTACGAAGGTCTAACACCAGCCCCCTGGGCTTCCTCAGGCTGGGATCCTGCTCCCCGGCACCAGCAGACACAGTACAGACAGTTGGACGAAGACTCTACTGGGTCTTCCAGGCCTTACTCACCTTCCCCTTTGGGTAAGGAGAATTTAAAGCAGCTATTTTCAACCTTATTTTCACTATAACAAATCTGACACGATGCACTCGTTTTAGGAACATCAACTTACCATAGTAGTGATTCTGACCTGATTGGAGGGCATGACCCTATCTTCTTACTTTATCCAACTCCTAACTCTCCTTTGAGAACCTCTGTATAAATCTGTTGGGATTGCTGTTGAAAATACAGTCAATAACTGGATCTTGTATATCAAAAGCACTCTCACTGGATTTGGGTTCTAACTGCAGAATCAGAGATCCTAGGTTAAAATGCATAGAGTGCCTTACCTGACTCATCACTCAGACGTCTAAAGATTAAAATACAAAAAGCCTTGGGTCACATTCATCAGAAGCCTTCCACCTCCACTAGGAATATAGTAGCAGCTTTGTTACAGATCTTCTCACTTCACTTAGAAATCATTCATGGTAACAAGGAGAACCCTTATGTAAACAGAAAAACCACAAACCACCCCTTCAGTGAAATTTAAGAGGCAGAGAAAATGCTTCAACTCAGAGTATGGGAAGCCAAAGCTACTAAGTCCATAGCATTAAATTTTTTTTTTGTACTGGAGATCGAACTCAGGACCTTGCGCTTTCAAGATAGGCAGCCAAACCATTGAGTTAAATCCCCGAACTTCATAGCATTTATGAGAAGCAGCATTGAGGTAATGGGAAAAACAGGTGGTGTGGAGGGGCCCTGGCTGCAGTCAGAACTGCTGGAGGAGAACTAAGGTGGAGAGCAAGATGCCTCAGAAGAAGGCAGGCAGAGCAGGGCTGCATATAACCATTCCCCAAGAGCCCTGTGATAGTAATTTTTTAAAAAAACACCAAAAATCAGCTTAAATTTCCTCATCACTTCTTTTTTTCTCTGGTACCGGGGATTGAATTCAGGACCTTGAGCTTGTGAGGCAGGTGCAGCACCACTGAGCTAAATCCCCAGCCCCTCATCACTTCTTTTTTTAGCTAAAAAAAAAAAATCTTCAAACAAAATTTTGCCCCTTCCTCACCCCTGTAGCTGTCCCTAAGGTATACTTCAAAATCTTTGAAGATAAGATTTAAACCTTATATCTGCAGTCAAGAAAAATGCCTGTGGAGACCTGAAAACTATAGTGCAGTTCTAAGAATGTTTTAGTCAGGCTGCAGGAGTAGCCCTAAGCCCTGAGTTGACAGAGGAATTCCCTGACCTACTCCAACAGGCCTGAATTAGTCATTGGCTAGGAGCAGCCCCTGGGGAGGCCTAGCCTCAGCACAAATAGGAATCCACAGGGACAGCAGCTGGGCTTTTGGTCAGTTGTGCTCTTCGGTTCCACAAGGCTCATGCATTTTGTTCAAACTCTTGTGCTTCTGTCTTACACATGCTTGTATAGGCATTGATTCATTTACATGGCCTTCTTTCCTTTTGATCCAGTTATATACTTTTTAATCTTAGCATGCCCAATTCCTACATCATTGGTTCCATGTTAGTTCCAAACTAAAGCTTTACGACTTAAAATTTTGTAAGCTATTACAGTATATACTGAGCAATTTGTGCATATGTTGCCTGTTTGCATCCTTCACTGGTTTTAAATAATTTCTTGTTCCTTTCTCCATCTTTTCTTTTATAGTTGGTACCATTCCTGAGCAGTTTAGTCAGTGCTGCTGTGGGCATCTTCAGGGCCATGAATCCAGGAGTAGAAACTCCTCAGGTAGGAAAATGTATTTGGTATTTTAATAATTTGAATTTCATTATGAATGGATTTAAGTTGTTTTTCTGGTCTTATCAGAAGAACTGAATTGATATGAAATATTTCCTCTGCTATCCTATTTTTTAGAATCTTGGTCTAATGTGTTTCTTTTTTGGGGGGAGGGGGGACTGGTGATTAAACTCAGAACCTTATGCTATTGAGGCAGGCACTGAGCCACTGAGCTACATCCCTGGCCCCCTAATGTGTTTCTGTGTGTCATATAGGTACTATCCCTTTTTACATATAAAATTACTTTATAAAAATATTCTTAGGAATGAAATAACAGGTAAATTTTGATTGTCACACATATAATGAAAATACAGAAAGTGAAATTTCATGACTTTGATAAATACATACTTTTTTTTTCTTTTTTTTGTACCAGGGATTGAACTTGGCACCTTGAGCTTTCGAGGCAGGCGCCAGAACCACTGAGCTGAATCCCTGGCCCGATAAATATATTTTTGATGTATTTTGTTTCAAATGATTTTCACATAAAATCTGGATGAAATAGGCAATAAAAATCCAGATAATTCCAGCAAAATTATTGTCTAAAATATTTACCTAGAAATCAATGGGTTAGGGTTAGAGGCTTGTCAAGTGTCTCAACTAATTTCCTTACTGCTCAGAATGCATTTTGTGTCTAGAGGCCTCTGATTTTAGAGACACTGTCATTTGGTATGTGCGTGACATAAAATTTGGCCTTCATACTCTTTATTTAAGCTGTTTTTATGCTGGTGAGCACCTTACAAATCTGAAGAAAGAAATGAATGAAGGCTATGAACTTTATTAATATTAAATATTAATTTCTTGCAGTTGAGGTACAAATTTCTATTAATTGTTTAATGAATTCTTAGAGGAACCCTGAAGGGCAGATGGGATATCTCCTCCTTATTTATGGAAAAGTAGGTAAACCAGGAGGGGTGGGTAGTGACTTCTTCAGTGTCAAACAGCAGCATAATGAAGAATGAAAAACTAGGCTTTTAGAACTCTGATGCTCCAGCTCTCTCAATTCAGTCCTTCTCCACTTTCCAAATGCTTCCAAGTCAGCTGAAACAGGATCAGTGTCTGAGAACACAACAGTAAATCAGTTTATTCCTACCTTCTTCCGGGTAGTCACTGTGTAGTGAGACTAGTAGACATAAACTAATTATTTATAGTACAACAGAAAAGTGAAATCTGGGTGTGGTAGCCTACGCCTGTAATCCCAGCAGTCCAGGATGTTGAGGCAGAAGGATTACAAGTTCAAGTGTAGCAATGCACCTATAATTTAAAAGAGAAGTTTAATTTGGCTCACAGATTAATACATTCTTGATAAAGAGTATTAGAGTATTTAGATAAAGAAGAAAAACATGCTTATTGCTTTACTATATTATATATATATGTATGACTAAAAAGATACATGTGAATTATACTTTTATAAGTCAAGTTCTGTTGTATGGGTATGTGAAGAGTTAGTTGAAGGAATCATATGTAATTTAGAAAATTACTGTTTTCTAAGGTTTTTAATATTTTTTTGCTTTCTAAAAATAAGAAACCACCAACAGAGCTAACAGACAATGTACAATATGGGAAAAGATTTTTAG